TTTGGCTATGTGTATTTTCACCAAAAAAAAGGTTGAGAAGTTAGAAGGTTGACATGTTGTGGGGTTGTTAACCAATGTCATAAAACAATATGTGTACTACAGTTTCATGAGAAACTGTTCATTCTGTAAGCCTTCACCTGAAGTACAATAGAAAAAAAAAATTCAAATCTTAAAAATTGTGAGGCCCAACAGCAACAGGCTTTGTTTTGTTTTGTTTTGTTTACATAGGGAAGCTATTACTTTCATTATCCAGCACATTCTCTCCACATTTAGCCAGGACTAAACTAGATGAGATTCTATTTTACTTTCAAAACCTCACAGGGAAGCTACAGCTCCCCTCAGTAACCTATCCATTATCTAATTCTCACCTCTTTGTCGCATCTAAATCCCTGAGGTCTGCTCTTGCATTCCTGGTAAAACTCTTCACCATGGTTAAATCGGCTTAGTCTGCACTTGCTGCTTCCTTCAGTATGACTATCTCAAAAGGTCATTTTTTTTGTACTTTTTCCCTCCATATACTACTCTTCATTTGGAGTTTTGCTTGGCCTTTGGTTCATAATTCTTTCTCTTTAGATATATGTGTATATATATATACAACAAAACATTTGCTTTGAAACATTTTTTACATGTACAATTCAGTGACATTAATTACATCCATCATGTTGTGCAACCAACACTTCAGTCCACTTCCACACATAATTTTCTTAATCTCAGATTCCTTTGGAAACCAAAACAAATGGCCAGTCAGCCCCTCCTCACCCTCCTGATTTCATATCTTCTAGCTATTATAATCATCCTTCATTTGGGTCTGGGAGGAAGAAAATAGATTTCAGCAGTTGCTCCAAGGTTTTCAGTGTTTGATTCTGATATAACTTCCCATCTATAAATTTCAAAGTGCTGGGGAGCACCCACAGAATGTTACTTTCCTTTGATGTAAACGAGTTCAGCTGAAGCGTTAACTTGATTTTCCTTGACCCTTGAAAATTACTGGAAGAACTTAGAATGTGCTATTCTGATCCTTAGATACGGGAAAGACCAATAGGAAGTGGACGTTCTCATGTTTCTCCTGACTTGGTAGCCTCTCATAATCCATATGTTCATTAAGCTTCATTCCGACATGAGTTAGTGAGTTATAGTGCTGTTGGCAATGTTAGTGAATCAACAATATATATTAAATAAGGTGCAACATATATGGTTTTTTGTTTTGTTTTGTTTTCCAACCCTTTCAGGGACACAGTAACTCGGAATAACTTTTTCCATACCAGAGACCATCTCCCCTACCCAGACCCCCAAAAAATGCTCTCTAGAAGACAGAACCAAGTAACTGGACCTATGCAATCAGAGATACAGGCTGTGGGGAGATCTGCCAGTGTCTCCTAACCTTTCTTTATGACTCTGAATGGGCTGTTCCAGCTACCCATGGAAAGCTAACACCCTTGACCATCTCTGTACTATATGGATTTCCACGTTCCAGGCATGTGCTTCCACCTAGCAAGACGGGAATAAGCAAGGGGTACAGTTCACTGCCTCATATAGAACACGACTCTCCAACAGCATCACAAGTTTTAGAGAGAAAATAACCAAAAACCCTCTTCAATAACAGATGAGATCTTAGATCACGATTCCTAATATAAAGCATGAACATTAGGAAAATAGGAGATATTTCTCTTTGTAACTCCAAGACTCCAATGTTAAAGTCTTATTTTTATCCCAGTGTTAATAAGCAACATCAGCTGCCAATGGTGGTTATCTTTACAGATAGAATTATGATTTTTTTTTATTTTATTGTGCTTTAGGTGAAAGTTTACGGCACAAATTAGTTTCGCATTCAAAAATTTACACACAAATTGTTTTGTGACATTGATTGCAATCCCCACAATGCGTCAGCACTCTTCCCCTTTCAGTTTCCACCCCAGGTTCCCTATGTCCATTTGGTCAGTTTTCCTGTCCCTTCCTGCCTTCTTGTCTTTGTTTTTTGAGTAGGTGTTGCCCATTTGGTCTCTTATACTTGACTGAACTAAGAAGGACATTCCTCACATGTGTTGTTGTGTGTTTTATAGGCCTGTCTAATCTTTAACTGAAAGGTGGACTTTGGGAGTGGCTTCAGTTCTGAGTTAGCAGGGTGTCTGGAGGTCATAGTCTCAAAGGTTCCTCCAGTCTCTATCAGACAAGTAAGTCTGGTCTTTTGTTGTGAATTTAAATTTTGTTCTACATTCTTCTCCCACTCTGTCCAGGACTCTCTGTTGTGATCCCTGTCAGAGCCGATGGTGGTGGTAGCCAGGCACCATCTAGTTCTGGGCTCAGGCTGGTGGAGGCTGTGCTTCTCATGGTGCATTAGCCCTTTGGACTAATATTTTCCTTATGTAGTTGATTTTCTTCATTCTCCTTTGCTCAGGTTGGGATGGGACCAAAAGATGTATCTTAGATGGCCACTGGCAAGCTTTTAAGACCCCAGATGCTACTCACCAAAGTAGGATGTAGAACATTTTGTTTATAAACTATATTGTGCCGGTTGACCTAGATGTCCCCCAAAAGAATTATGGAATTTTTAACTCTCTATATTATAGGTTTCTGTAACACCTAGATATTTTACAATCAGTTTGTTTTACTTTTATAATAAGAAACAAAAGCTATAAAATATATAAAAATTTAAAAATAAACTCAATGCAGATGATATTTTATTAAATTGTTCTGTTGTTCACTATGTAACAGGTGCTGTACAAGCATTTGCCATTCTGTCATCTCTGTGCTGTAGGGTCTCCAGGCTCTTAGCAGTGCACCCTGACCCAATCCCAGCCTCCTTTCCCTGGCCCTGGATGCTCTCTGTCTCTCCACCTCCACTTCACCCCGCCTGTTGCTTATGGCCCTCCACTTGTCAAGTGACAGTGTTGGCCATCTTACCTAAAATTCCCTTTCCCCTCTTCTCAACATTCTGCTGTGGATAGCTCTTTCATTCATGTCTGGTTATCACTAACCTATGTTAAGGCAATAGTAATTTGCCTTCATTATATTTTCTTTTTTTTAAGCAGACTCAACTATTTTTTTCTCCTAGATGTATAAAGGAAACCCTGGTGGTGTAGTGGTTAAGTGCTACAGCTGCTAACCAAAAGGTCAGCAGTTCAAACCTACCTGACGCTCCTTGAAAACCCTGTGGGACAGTTCTACTCTGTCCTATAGCTTTTCTATGAATCCAAATCAACTCGATGGCAATGGGTTGCATTGGTTAGATGTATAAAGCACCTCCCTAAATAGACTACAAGTTCATAAAGAACAATCTCTGTAGTTAGTGACCACTTAATTAATTATTGTTAATTTACCAATTAGATTAAAGGGTCCCCTCAAAAAGATTATATTAAAGAACTCTAAATGTAAATCATCCCCACATTTAACTGAACAGTATGGATAGAACGGAGTAATCTCAGAGATTCTCCTTATTTGTGCTGCTATCTACCCCTTGTTTAATGGAATAATGAGTTGAAACTCAAGCCAATAACATTACTGCAGTCACGTTCCATCATTTCCTACCTTAATCTGCAATAACAGCAGCTTGTCACATTTATAGATATATGGATACGAGTGTAATATACAGTCACATAAGATAAAATATATATGGCACATCTTCTACTACTTGACATACAGTCTAATTTATCTTTAATCTCGTTCATGTCCTTGTCATGGTTTGCCTGAGTTGTTAATGTGTTCTTTCTGCTTAAAGTGGAACATTTTAAATATGCAGTTGATCCCCATTGTTCACGGATTCCATATTTGTGAATTTGCCTACTCACTAAAATTTATTTTGTAA